TTTAATTTTTAGTGGTTAACAATTTATAATCGAGAAAAATTGTAAGAACATTTTTTGTAAAAGATTAAACTATAAATAATTCGTTGTTGGTTTCAATATTTTATGTTCATTATATAATAAATAATGATGAAAAAACAACAAGGTGAGCAGCGCTCACTCAATACCAATGGCGGGACTTTACATAGCGATACCAACGACGGGTTAATTATTATCTCAGGAGATATCGCAATGGTTAATCCTCGCGGGACATCCTGTATACCTAACTCGTTCTAAAATAAAAACATAAAATTCTTTGCTAAGGCACAGTTTATATTTAAATTGTATTCTAACAATGCAATAATATTTAATTTTGCTTCTATATAAATAAACTGAAGTAAAAACCAGGTATGTACACATACTACGTGTAGCCATAGAGGTATTTTAATGATTAGTCTACTGACTATTGAAAATTAATAAACAATATTTTATTTTAAGTCAGTTGTCTAAACCATTAAAAAAATTATAATAATATGTTTGATTGTAATTCTTGAACAATTCAAACATGATTTTACTCTAACTATTCTTGTCTTGAATTCCTCAACAAAGTTTGAAGCATTGGTAGAGCTTAAGAACTAATCCTTAACTGGGAATTTGTGTATGAGAACCTATAGCTCGACCTATAGTATACTAGTACATAATAAAAGTGGACATTTTAAGTTTAATCTGAATATTTGTTGTGATTTATGTAAACAATGAGGAAATTCAGTGCAGAACAAACACCAACGTTTGAAACGTTGAAAAGGTAGAAATTCGTAAGCGCTTGGTTTGGTGAGGTATTTTCTTTAACCGTGGTCGTGGTGTATGGCATAAGAAGTAAACTATGATAAGCCGTGATGTAACACCACAGATATATAAAAATACTAGATAGACGACTCCCTATTCCTACCATGTAATAATTATGAAGCCAACAAAATGGCCGAAATACTCTTATCTAAGAGGTGAATTTTTACAAAATATAAATTATGATAAACTGTGATAATTTTATGGCGGGAATCAAAAACTATTAAATATGTATTACAAATTACAATATCATTACACTATCATACACTTACTAGTTACAACACGGACTAAGATGTACTTATATTTTTTATTTTATAGTATGTCTTAGTCCTTGACTTAAAATTAAGATTAAAAGTATAGTTTATTGCAAAAAACGAGAAATACAATATAGATATAATAAACAAGTTTCAAGCTCGTCCAATAAGCACATGCTTGAATTCTAATGATCTGAGTTCATATTAAAAATGAACTAAAATGAAAATAAATTTTACTTTATGTTATGTTATATTACAACAAAATAGAGTAAAACAAAAAAGATTTAATTTTATATTAAATATAAGAGAAAATATTATTAATATATATCTTATACTTGGTGAAATTACAAAAATTGGTTAAATTAATAATATATTTATGTAATAACAAGCCTCTTCTAATTATTAGACATTGAGTTCCAAAATAAATGCCATTAAATGGTATAATTAAATTACAATTATTTTATGATCTTGTATTTACAACCATACAAAGGATGGAATTTACTTGTATTAACTTTAAACATACGGTATAATACAATATGCAGTTCATAAGTTTTGACCAAAAGTTCAATCCTTAAACTCATGATAAATTATATTAGTAAAATATGATTTAGTTTTGTTAAGAATGATTTTTATTAATGAATTTATAGTTTAGGGTAAGACATTGTTGTGTATAGGAGTATGTGAAGCCACACATCAAAATCAAATACAAACATTAAATATAAAAATCTTGATTTAAAAATAATAAACCTATGTAATAATACATTTGCATTCGATAATAATATTTTTTATACACTTCAATGTGAAATGTTCCTTTGCTAGATAGACCCCATAAGATGGTATTCATTTCATTATTAGTTAAAAAATAGTATTAGTTAATAAGTATTAGTTAAGTATCGACTCCATTCTTTTGGCAAAATGTTTTCAACAGAAATTTTAAATCCTGTTAGTAAAAGACAAAAATTAACTAAACAAATAATTTTTATGAACCAGTAGTAGGTATAAAATATTATATGTAGTATAGACTATAGGTACCAGTTTTATTTTAAATATTTGTATTATTACTAAATTAATTAATCGAGTAATTAATATACTAGTTTTGTTTTATTTACTTGAAATATTTTATATTTATTACTATAATATGTAGCACTAGTATAGATACAAATTTTGTTTTATTAATTTTAAATATTTTATGATTATTATACAAGGTAGTATACCAGTTTTGTTTTATTGATTTTAAATATAGTTTTTCAAAAATAATAAATGGATGTAAAATTTTTAATTAATTAATTCAGATTGTTTTTAAAAATATTTTACAATAGAACAAATTTTTATAAAATAATGTAATATTCACATGCACTATTACATAATTTACATAACTGTTGAATAAGCTAAAAGTTGATAATATGTATTTAAGACTTATGTAAGTAAGTTAAGTTATTAACATCATGAACTAACTATACAACTTTAAAGTTTAAACTTATAATTTAAAATATTAATCATATTATGACAAATTAAATAACAATAATATCTTTATCAGTATTATGAAAATGTAAACATTCACCTCTTAGATAAAAGAATTTCGGCCATTTTGTTGGCTTCAAAAACATTTCCAAGTTATCTATCTAGTATTTTTATATATCTGTGTGTAACACAATGAATAGTGATAACAATCGCCAAAAGTATAAACAAAGTCAACCACGGTTCTGGTTACTAGAACTAAACAGACCAAATGCTGGATCATTAAAACGTTTGCCGCTACAGAATTTCCTCAATATTAAGTTTATATTTTTATTAATTGCTTGTTAAGCACACCTAACCTAAGAATGGTCTATTTACCAGAATACTATTTAAAAGTTGTGTTGATCACATTATGTTTAACTGTTTAAGCTGGTTAATTTGGGTATTCAGTATAAAATTCTGATATTAACCAGCTTAAACATAGTGTGATCAATACAAATTTTAAATAGTATTTAGGCAAATAGACCAATCTTAGGTTAGGTCAGGACAAGCAATTAATAAAAATAGAAACTTAATATTGTTTAGATAAACCACAACAAATATTCAGATTCAACTTAAAAATTTCACTTTTACTATATATTTTGTATACTCATACTTGAAATCCCAATTAAGGATTGTTCAATGTTTATGTCTTTTTGCAGTTTATTGAACTTTGTAGTTGAATAATAATAATAGTCATTATTGACAGCAGACAGGCATAAAATATGTTTAAACTCTAAAGTGAATCTTACTGTTTTTGATCCAGACAACTACCAAATAGAAATAATAATCATGGTTGAAATTATATTCTAAGAAACATTAAACTAAATTAAATAGGTACCAACAGTTAAAACTGATTTGTTCTACCTATACATCTAAATGAACCAGCGCCATCATCTCATCATCAAATTCTTTAACCATGGGACTACCGGAGTTGGTATGGTAGGGAAAAATAAACATGCATGGAAATATACGAGTTGGTCTGGGTGACGACAATTAGTCGCCACTAAGTTGCATTCTCTCTGTGGCTGAAGTATGGATACTTAACATTCATATTAACCCCCAATATTAACCTAAATAACAATAAGTTGTTAACACATAAATTAGTTTATATATTTTATTTTATTAAATGAACATCCAAGAAATACAACTAAAAGACAAATAAATAATTTGGCTGCAAATCCCTAGTTTATAGGATGTTTATTATATAACAATACAATTGGATATTATAAAAAATTACTTTAATTTATCTTTAGTTGATGAAAATAAAAATGTAGAATGACACTCAATTTACAAACTATCTACCAATAGCCATTTCCTCGACCATTTCTGTTATTTGTTGAAATTTTCAGGTATTTTGTAATATTTTTTTGACTGAATATATTTAATACCTATTATATAAATATAAAGTATATACAATAAATTCATATCATAACACTACTAAGACAACTTCACAATTATAACAATGTTTCTTATAAATACCATACTATAATATCAAGTATGTTGCGAATTATAAGATTTCAGTAGTGCTAACCAATATTTTTGTACATACCGATCTCCTATAACCCGTACATATGTATTAACACTAAATGTATATGGGCATAGTATAAGGAATAAGAAGTACACTCAACACAATCTGTGTTTTTCGTTCTACTTAACTCATATGCATCGCCTGTGTATTAGTGCATACTGCATGCATTGTAGAAGATGAATTTCTTTTTCTTCCCTTTCTCCCACCATCCCTCATCACCACAATTGTCATTACCACTATTACCGCCAATGCAAGTCGCAGTGGGATCGAAAACATACTTCAAGTAGTTCAATTGAACTGCATTAATAGTGGGTGGGTGTGTGGGTATTGGGTAAACTAATAGAGCATACTTCTTAGTATTTCTGTTATAATTATATTAAACACAGATATGTCCTTAAATTATTTATACATAATTAGTTGAGCCAGTTTCACAGTCGTTGGGGGTAGTTCAATCAAACTATTTGAACTGTCAATTTTCATTCAGCGCTACTGGCAAGTAGGCAAGTAATAAAACAACATAAGGCCAATTTTATAATGTTTATTACTGGCAGAATTCGTCCGGTGTCAGTTAACTTTAACCGGACATTGTAAGAACGGCCCTTACTGTAGTAGGTAGGTACCCAGAGCTCATTGTACACCAATCAAACGATAAACCTTTAACGTCGAAATAACATAAACCGTTCTACAACGTGTACGTACACTGCTGTAGAAACAAAAATGACGCAACAACACAAAGGTCGCCGTGAGAAACAATATAGGATGCACCTGCAAGTGCTCAGTACAAAAAACGGCAGTAAACTACTCGCCTCTAATGGCGGCAGTGATCCGCTGGATGGGACAACGAGAGACAAATGCGAATAAAACGCGACGGGTACACGCGGACTACATGTTGAACTCACCTCTAATCTGAAGAAGTAGCTGACGTGCTCCATTAGATATGGTTCGTCGGGGTTCAACACGTCGACGATGTCTGGTGCTTCACGCAGGCAAAGGCGGCAAATTTTCGAAGCATCCATAATCAAATAGGGTCCTCTTCGAGACATATTTACGTTTCAAAAACACGAGCACGTATGCAAGCACCAATGTGTTGGACCTCGTCGGCTGTGGTACCGAAATCGCCTGGGCACTGGGAACCTAATGAGAGACAGGATGGAAAATATTAAAATACAATTTGTAGAAAAAAAACTTGCCGATGACGCCAAACCTAGACAAACGGGTTACTTGAATCGAAAAAATGGCCGGCCGAACGGTTGTCGGTCGAACGTCGTCGTCAGTCGTCGCCAGTCGTCACAGAGGTGCAGTACCCAACATTACGCCATCACGGGATCCAGACAAATGTCAAACATTGGTGGGGTGCGCATACAGCAGCTGCCGGCTAAACGGAAAACTTGAGTTGGTAATGAGGAGTGGGAGACACACGGCTGTTGGCGTCGCCCGACGTTTGTTTATACCTCGGAAGTCCGTCCTCCACCATGGAGGAAACACAAATAGACGCCGCTTGGACGCTTGGTATGATGCGTTTCCAAGGATAGTGGAAAGCGTATCTAAACGAACGTCTTAGATCATTGCATTGTACCTTTTTCCAGGTATTCAGCGGCAATTTAAATTTTTTTATTTCACTTGTAGCGCGTTCGAATTTCGGGCAATGGCGATCAAACCTGTTTGCAGGGGCGCAATTTGGATGGTTTCTGTACTTTGACAGATCTATTTTTTTTTACAATATATTTTATATTTACAAACGCTCCGACGGCCGATACATAAATGTTAAAAACATAATATTATGGAAATCCTTAAGCATATAATTTAATATGTACGAAGATGATGTATACTCATTATTTATAGACGCATGTTATTAGAATGCATGACACAATCTATTTCCAACTACCAAATTAATTAAATTTATAAACCTTCAACCCCATACATAAAATGCATAATATACTTACTAAGACGAAAAGTGTTCGGATGGTTAGATAGTGTGCATGCATAAGTTTTGGCACCCTTATTAAAAAACTAGAATGGCATGCTAGGTGACCACGGTCTTAGATTATTTAGACTATAATTATTGTTTGGTACAGTCTTTTAAAATATACTTTTTAAAGGTCTTTAAATACAGATACATATTTTTATAAGTATTCGAGTATAAATACAAAAATACTTTATAAAACTATTAATAGACGTTTTTAAATTTGTTTATCATCTGAACGTCTGAACCAAATTTTGTTTAGGACTATCATGTCTTACTTTAGTTTTATAAATCATTTTACACAAGTATAAATATTTTAGGTATTCATCTGTTGTCTTTTTTAATAATGTATTTGGATTTTTAGATAAGTAAAAGTCACATAAAAAATTATATTGTTATATATGACTAATGATAATTTATTATAATATAATTCTAATATTTTGTTTTTTCTCAACTTGATTTAAATGAAAATAGAAAATAAATTAAGAAATGTTATTTGATTTTAAAAACAGATACTTTAAGAAAGAACTTAAAATGCATAGTTGAACACTAAAAAGTATAATTATATGTTTACTCAAGAAATTTACAAGACTGGTTTATCATTAACATGGTCAAAATAAAAGCACAAAAACTGTCATTTTAAGTGCATCGCTAATGATTATTATTCCTAAGCCAATACCTACCAACCCCTCAAATCAAACACTGATTATAAGACATAAGAAAAATATAAAATTATAATTAACATTTAACACATATGTTCATTTGTTAAAAAAAAATATTATATTGAAGTCGATTTTACAAGAAATTTAATACAATATAATATATTCATAAAACATTATTTTAATACTATACATTCTACTATTAATTTTCTGTTAAGAACATAAAAATAAAAAGAAGTACTGAAATTTATTTTGCATCTTTGTGATGCTAGGTATAGACAGTGGCAATTCGAAAGTCTCAATCTAAACGCAGCTGCGTCAACTTTTTAGGGGTGGTGGCAGACATAGATATTTAAGAATAATATTCTATAATATCTTTGATGGCAGTGGCGTCAAAGTCTATGCTAAGGTCTGTCCACATTTTATTTACATCTTAACTCTGCTAGGTATAAATAAAAAATGTATATTATAATTTAAAATACCTTATAAGTGCAGTGTGGTGGTGGTAAATAATTAAATATGAAATTACGTCATTTAAAATGTAGGTTCGATCCGCCACCAAGTATAGACTACAACCTTAGTACAATACTAATTAATAAATGTAATTTTGTTCAATATTGGTATATCAAATGTGTATTTTATTATACATTATTTTATTATTTAAGTCATATTTGATTAAATCTTAAAAAAAAAAAAAATATAGAAATGTAAAACTTTTACTTAATAAAATATTCTTAGGTATACAGAATTAAGAGGTGGATACTTTATTAATATTACACGTAATTTATGTTATTTTAAAAAATAATGATACAAGTCTAAGGTATTAGGTCAGTATATTAAACTCTATTCAAAATAAGAGCACCGGGCGTAGACTAGTTTTTGTCCGGCGGCAGTCAGATGCCTCTCCCAACAAGTGAACCACAAGGTTTGGCATTCGGAACAAAGCTATGTCCACGATCACAAGTCAGTCGCTTGGTACCGCTCTTATTTTGAATTGAGTATACATTTGTATGGAAAAAAAAAACATTTAAAAGCTTAGCTATTTATTTAATTTATTAAAAATCCATACTTAATAATTATATTTATTCAAAAATAATCTTGTATTACAATCAAAATAATGGTTTAGTAACATACATTTAAAATTAACTAATAGTTTTAATTTTATTGAAAAGCTATTAAATCATAACTCATTTAGATATTTTGGTGTACTATAGTTTAAAAAATACGTATTAAAATAAAAAATACATAAGGTATTTTAGGAAACCAAAATTTAAATAAAAATCAGTACGTAGTCTACTTTATGTTTAAACTTATTCACTAAATGCAATAATAATAAAAAATTTAAATTGTATTGTAAGTTAACTGTTTTTTCAGTTATTAAAATACAATTATTTAAAAAAAACTTAAATAATTTTATGACACAAAATTAGTTGCAACAAACATTGTAATAAAAAAAAAATAATGGTTTATCCGGAAAAAAATTATAATGTTTTCAGTGTCGGAGTTTTTTTTTTAACTTAGTAGTTATAATAAGAGATTTTTCATTACACTTTACTTAAGTTTCATACTTCAGTGATGACTAAATATGTCTATGAAATAGAGTACATTTTATTTTAAAAATGCTAAAGGTTTTGTTCCTTTGTTTTTTATTCATTTGAAGAAGGGACTGCTTGAACTGAGTTATTGATTTTGTTTTCATTTACATGATTAACATTTTCAGTATTGTTTAATGCAACCAATTCACCGCCAGAACAATTTTTCTTCTCTTCTTCTACAACAGAAGATATATTTGTTTCATTTTTGTCTATTTTAGTGGTTGTTTTGTCAATATAATTGTTGGCACTTTCTGAAACATTCATTGAGTATGCATGCTCAACTACCATTGTATCTTCATCATCAAGGAGATCAATTGTTTCACTATCATTCAATTGATCTATAATTTGATTTATACTTTGAGCAGTGTAAACATCAGTTTGATTTTCTCCATCATCATTATTATTACTTATGTCAATGATTTCATTATTTCTTTCATTTGTATTATGTTCTGTTATATTTTCTTTAATTTTGTTATCAGACAATTCCCATTGATCTGATAATGTATTTGCATTTTCTTTTTGTTTAATGTGTCCATTGTGTTCCTTATTATTTTCCGTAATTGTTTCAGGAATATTGTTAGCCATTGATGTTGTTTCAAAGATATTGTTGGCCAATGATGTAGTTTTAGGAATATTGTGGGCCATTAATGTTGTTTCAAGGATATTGCTGGACAATGATGTAGTTTTAGGAATATTTTGGGCCATTAATGTTGTTTCAAGGACATTGTTAGACAATGATGTAGTTTTAGGAATATTGTGGGCCATTAATGTTGTTTCAAGGATATTGTTGGACAATGATGTTGTTGCTGGTGCAGGAATATTGTTGACTTTTGATGTTGTTTCATAAATACTGCTAGCCATAGATGTTGTTTCAGGGATATTGTTAGCTATTGATGTTGTTTCAGGAATATTGTTGACTTTTGATGTTGTTTCTTGAATACTGCTAGCCATTGATGTTGTTTCAGGGATATTGTTAGCTATTGATGTTGTTTCAAAGATATTGTTGGCCAATGATGTTGAACCAGATATAATTGGTAACACTACTTCACAATTAATAGGAGTTGCATTAGATGTAACAGCTACAGTATCATCTTTTACACCATGCTCATGTTCAATATGCATTATTAATGCTATATGGTACATAAATTTAAAGGGACATTGTTTACAAGAATACCGTCTGTATTTATGATACGGAAGTCTCTTTCCATGATATACTCTCCAATGTTGAAAAAACGTTAAGCGTGTAAAATATTTTTTACATTTAGTACAATAATATCTTTGAGGTTTAGTTTTCGAAGGATTTTGCTGATCACAAAATTGCCAATGTCTTGCCAATCCTGAGTTTGATTTAAATTTTCTTGGACAATTAGTACATTTAATTGTGTATGCGTCATAATTAACAGATTCTGTTGTTTCATTACTTAGATAATGATCGGATAATGTAGTCATTTCAGCATCTATTTCATTATTTTCATCAGCGGTGGCCATTTCAATGATGGATTCAATTTCTTCATCAAAGTGAGCAGTACTATTTTCATTTGGTTCTTCAGGTTCTCGTTTACAAGTGTTGACCATTTCAAGATATTCAGCTTTTACATTTGGACCACTCAGATTACCCAATCCATAATCCGCATCAGTTCTTAAAGATGTATTACTCATTCTTTCTTTCACAATTTTTTTTGGTGGAGATGGATTGTGAATCTTTACATGACTTGATAAAGCTGCGGCTGTAAGACACACTTTATTACAAATCATACATTTATAAGGACCTTTATACTTTTTAATATAGGTAGTTTTAGATTTAGGTATTATTTTTGAATTTGTTTCCACGTTATTGTATTGACATGCGATCAAATGAGATTTGAAGTTATGAATAAGAATTCCTTTATGACAATATGCACAAATAAGATTCTTATTATTTTTTTTATTTGATATTAAATCACCGTCATGCAAGGTAAATTTATGAATACTCAAACTTTGAAGATCATCAAATTGTTCAGAGCATTCATAACATTTGAACATGCCAGGAATACGACAGTTACCTTTTACTTGATGTCCTCTAAGATTATTTAAAGAAGAAAATGGCACACAACATTGCCAACACATCAATGTATTCCCTAATTCAAAATGTTCACGATGATGAAATTTAAAAACATTAAAGTTTTGGAAGATGAGATTGCATGAAGGTTTTAAACAAGTAAAAAGTATATGTGTCGACGAACGTGGAATCTTTTTCATGTTTCCTCTTTTACGTTCCAGTACATTCTTCAAAGGACTTTTCTTAACCGGTAATAAATCAGTTTCATTTTCTGTAGGTTCTTTTAGTTTCATACCGTACTCAGTTATATTGTTTGCCTGATTTTCTAGACAATGTTTAGTGTGCTCAATAATTGTTGTTAGATCTGGAGCTGATTTTTCACAATGAAAACATAAATAATTACCAAAACAGTTCATCAATCGGCCATTATGTGATTTTAATTTGTGATAAGCAAATTCTTCCATACTGTTAAATATAACACTACATGAATAACATTTAAATAAGTTTACAGTACGGCAGCGAATGTGATAATGACCACTGGCATCGCGGTCAGTTTTTTTTATTTCTTGATAACAACGACGACACATAACTGCATGTGAAGATAAACCAATATGTCGTCGATAATGTGGTGTAAAATCTTTTTTTGATCTTGACAGAATGTTACAATTAGGCACCAAGCAAGTAAAGAAAGATTTATTGTTTTGAGAACAATCATGGTTCAAAATATTCTTCTTTTGACAGATGGAACAGTAGTACAATTTTTCAGCTTCATTTATAGATTCATTTTTGAAACTACTTTTACAAGGTTCTTCACCGTCTGATGATAATAAATCAACAATTTCAACTGGGTCTTTTACTACTGAACAAGATGGATCTTCATCATCTGATTCACTATCAACATATACTGATTTTGATTGATTTGTAATAAATGAGCGACTAGAATCACCTTGTTTATTATTACTTTTAATACTACTACTACTGCAACCATTTATATTGTAATTATTTTCATTTCCATTTTTTGATATTGATCGAGAATTTGTGAATGAAGATGATTTCTTCTGAGTAGCCACTTCTTTATTCCTTGAATCCGGTGTTGAATACGATGCATTGGATGTTCCAGGAATAGTAACACCTCCAAACTAAAATCAGAAACACAATAATTTAAAATTAAATAAGGTTAGAATGCAGTAATTGTACATTTGTAAATAGGTATATTTCTAATATTAATATAGTATGGTAAATATGTACTAATTAAAATAAATAAATACTAAAGTTTCGATCAGTGATCAATTCTGAATTGCTTATTAGTTCATAAAAACTAACACTCACTAACATTATTAATAATATCTATAATAATAAACTTTAAAGTAAAATAAAATATTGTTTAGGTTGATTACTTGAAAATAAAATATGATGGCATTGTATGTGTCAAATAAAGATTGTATGTGTATAATAATAATAGTAAACAGAGCTGTTTAGGAATGAATTAATACCATGCTCAGAAGTCAAAATAGAGCCTGATTATGAACAAAATGTATAGTAATTTTGATGTTCACTTCTTTTGGGATTAGCCTAATGGCTTTGTCAGTTCAATTAGGAATATATTTAATTAACTGTTCTCCAGGCTGTATATTCCAATAGATATTGATAGACGACAATAGTAATTTTGTTTAAAGCACAAATTATCTTATATCCTAAGTCTAAGTAAATCTAGTGTATTGTATATTTAACATGAATTATTATTTTTAATAGAGCAGTGTATAAAAAAAGGTGTGCAAGTGGGTGTCGCTCTGCTGTACAGTAGGTTACAAGTGGGTCACTGTATAATGGATGGTATTAAATTTGAATTCAATGATATAATATCATTGTATAAGAAAAACGATTCTGAGCGGTGACGGTATGTCAGTCTATGTATAAGACATATTATATACATATCTATGGTATTAAACAAAAAATTGACCTATAATAGGTACCTATAATAAATTCCAAATTAATCATATCACAATATCCATTAGATACTTATAACGCGTTATACATCAACAAAAACAGTGATACTATCATAGATATATAATAGTACACTTTAGAAGTTTCAAGTACCCACGAATAATATTATTCAATCACAACAAAATAACTAAAATAGTTATTATAGGTTTTTTAATATGTAATTTCGTCCAAATTTGAATTTAAAATGTCTGTAAAAAATAAGTGTGTTCATATATTTTTTAGATTTTTTGGTTATAGTATGAACTATTTATGAGAACCTTTGTGTTGAATTTGTAATCCTTAGCTATAAAAACTGAACATTTTATAATTTATTAATTACAATGATTGATAATTTTCGAGATTTTGATAAATTTTGTCAAAATTTGATCTTTAAATGCTTATAAAAAAAAACTGTGCTTATGTATTTTTAATATTTTTCAACTGATATTGTAACAATATATCAGGAGCCTTGTATTAAATTTTTACACTTTTTGGCCCAACAGATAAAACTTAATTGATATTTATAGAAAAAAAAACTAAAAAAATTGAAAACTGAAAATGTCCGTAAACAGCTCAAAAAGAGTCAAAATATTTTAAAAATGTTATGGTGTATAGAAAATGCTAATTTAAACATTCAGTGAAATTTTCATGTATCTACAGTTATTCGTTTTTGAATTACAACAAAATAAGGAAATCGCTACATGAGAAATCGAGTGAATATCCAATGTTGTAAAAATTTGAATTTCAAACGCTCATAAAAATTTAATTTGACTTTCTTAGGGACATTTTTTTTTTTTGATAAAGGTAGATAATCTTATAAGGAATCTTGTATTACATTTTCAAATCTTAGATTTAAAAAGAAAAATTTTCACGAATTCTTAACTCAAAATAATTTGCTAATTTTTGTGATTTTTCCATATTTTGTCAATTTTTGAACTTTAACCCCCCAAAGTACCAACTAGATTCACTTTCCTATCAGAAAAGCTACTGATGAAGAATATCCAAGCACTTTTACTGTCCTAAAACGTGATGACAGACACAAAAAAAAAAAACACACATCATTGTAAAACCAATACATTCATCGCTCCGCTCAGAATCTAAATTATACAATATGAGTTAAGTTAGGTATATCTTAGTAGTAGTTTCAAATTATAAATACCTACATAATACAATTAACTATAGTTTTTGTAATATAACTTATAAGGATAAAACAATTTAAAAAGGATATTTTGGTTAATGTAGACAATTGATATTTTTGTTTAGACTGTTTAACTGTAGGTATATAAAATTGTTTGTATTTTTAATTAACTGTAAGGACAACTTATAAAAAATCTTGTATTAGAGCATGATAATAACATATTATAAATGTTCAAGCCTTATGATCGAGTGTAACAAATACTTCCAACATTTATATAAAAAAATTTTGAAAGCTTATACTGGCCAAATTATTGAGTATAAAAAGGATTGTGGCATAAACAGTATTGGATTTAAGGAACTGTGTTCTCAAAATTAGGACACATGACAAGGTAATTTATTCAAATATTTTTTTAAAAACTTTTTTTAACTGTTTACAAACTGTGTGTATCTAATTACTGATATCTGATATTATTTTAGTTTGTGGTGAAAAATAATAATCTGACAAAAATAGTAGGTACGAGGAACCATTCCACAGTCCACTTTATCTTGCATGAATTAAAAATAAGTGGATTAATTCCTCTGTGCATCTCCTCACTACTCTTTAAACGAGTTTGTTCTACTATAAAAAACTATTAAGATAATTCTTAAGGAATTAAGGAATGTAGATGAAGTATGTTGGCATAAAGAATCTAATTTAGATGAAAAATACTCCCGTAATATAATAATTTTATGTTAGAATTTCAATATAAAAAATAAATATATTCTCATTAATGGAATGAAGTCTGAAGAGTAATACAAAATGTTTGTTTAAACTTTTAAGTGGTTTGTTAATTCCGTTGAAAGATTAAGAATCTTTTGTAGTATCATCTTAATGCTTAACCTTTAAATTAATAGTTAGAATTTGGAACAGATTTTGCTATTTTAGCCCCTTCAGAAAACAAATATTATTTTTTACATAGTATTATATACTATTATAAAATATACATTGAGGAAATGGTCAAAACTTGAAACATTGAAAGAACTTAAATCAATTAGTTATGAAATGTTTGTTTATTTTAGCAAGGGGGGCAAAGCCCTACACTGTTTTATTCAGTATTTTAATTAGGTAGGGACCATAGGGACCTTATAAAAAAAAAATTTATATTGTAATGTTACCTACAAGTTTCTACAAATAATAACAATTATTTAAAATTATAAAAAAGATAGAGAACAATATTTTTGAGGAAATGACATATCTATTTTATATTTTATTGTTATTTGACTTTCAAAATAATTATTATACAAAAAAATGTTCAAATTGTTTTGAGACAATATTTAGACAAACCGATATGACATTCCCTTAAAAATATTATTCTCTATCTTATTTGTAATAGGTGATTTTTACTCTAACATTACTTAAAAACATAGAAAAAATGATTCTGAGTAAAAGTGATTTGTCCATGGTGTGCGTGGGCCAGAGAGAGAAAACAAATAGTGCGCTGACATCCTAAGTTATAAATTTAAATTTTTTAGCTACACAATAATTTATGTATTTACGCAATTTTGACAAATTTGAACACCTAACGCTTATTAAAATATTGTGATAATTTAATCATGATATTTTTAATGGCAGTAAGAACAACTAGCGAGGAACGTTGTATTATATTTACAAGCATACATTTTATCATAATGTATAAATTCAAAAATTATGCATAAATAGCACAAAAATGATTTTAAGGTAGGTATTATGAAAATATTATTCTTTAAATAAAAAAAAAAATAGAAAATTTTTACATAATGGTACTTAGTTAGATATTTCTTATAAGGATTATTAAATTTTAAAAAAAAATGATCTCAAAAATAACTTAGGTTTTTATGTGTTATCACTGTAGAGTGTAGACTAGTATTTATTTTAAATTTAATTAAAGGTACAAATACTCACTTGATTTAGGTGACAGATGAGATTATTGGGGTATACCTAAGTTTAAGTTGGGGGTATGATTAAGGAGTGATAATTTTTAAATGTTTTTTGACATCTAATTTTAAATCAAGTTCAGCGCCACTGTATTTGTTCAACTATCTATCATTTATAGGATTAATAGAATATTATTTATTATTTATAATTTTTGTACATCAATACTTTAGTTGAATTTAGTTATTTCAAAAAAGTGAAACAGAAGGCCAAGACCTAATTAATTCTTGAATTCCTACCAGTTAATATTTCAATGCTTGTCTCAATTCTATAGCAATTCAAAAATTATTATTATTGGATATATGAATTAATTAAGTTTAGTTTATGATTAAAGACCGGATTTATATTCTCTTAAAATACCCAAAATATGATGCTAATATTCTCTAAAAAAACCTTCAAATATTCTCATTATATTCTCTCAAAAATTTAAAAATATGCAAAAATAATCAAAAAACATCATTATATGCTTTAATATGCATTTATTTTTTAAAATTTTATTTCCAACTATATTTTTATAGTGAGATATTAATTAGGTATTAAGAGTTGCATATTATACCTAATGGAATAGTATTGCACTTTAGCAAGAGTAAGAAGTTGGAATATAATATAAATATAACAGTATAGGTAATATTAAAACACAAAAACAAAATTTTGATATTTGAATAATTGATAAACTTATAAGTTGATCTTATCAGTAGATATATATAGATAAACCTTGATAATACTGCGTGTTTTATTTTTATCAAAATGAAAAAAAAAAAATAAATTGTAAATGGTCGAAAAAAATTTTTCAGAGTACCGTAATATTAAAATTAATAAAAATAAATACAAATTTTTGCTCACAATTTACGAAATATTCCAAAATATGCTAAATGGGTTAAATATTCTCCAACCCATGAAATATTCTCAAATATGCAAAAAAAACTTTTTTTCTACGCATTCAGAATTGAACGAATCGTCCACATTTTTTACTCTCATAAGACTGCATAGACCCAGTAACGATATGTAAAAACATATAAATCCGGTCTTTAGTTATGATTAATAGTAAAATAAATGTAGTTCGATCAATGTTCTTGAACTATGGAAATTTGGTTAATAATACTAAACTAAATTAATAACTGAGATTTCATTAAACTAATATCTAGAACAAAAATTTGATAATTGAAAAAATACTATACTCAAATTGATGTTTGAATAATTTAATTTATTACTTTTTCAGTTAAAAAATCAACTTTTTAATTAATATAACTCCATTACAGATTTTAATAAATTTACTGAAACAAATTTAAAAATGAAAATTGAATTAAGAGGATGCTACCCATGCATTTGTTGTCTTCGTCTTACACACGTACAACATAGCAAATTTTCGGTGACTAGTTTCAATAGTGTGCTATAAGTTTTGATATTAGAGTGATTTGACCTATCATACATTTTTAGGTTAATAACATTATCTGTGCTTATGAGTTGACTTTTATATGATATTTTAATTTTTAAGCAAGATATGAGCATTTTTAGTTTTTGATATTTCCCATACCCATATCTTGCTTGAAAATCGGCAACGCTTAAGCACAGATAATGTTCTTACCTAAAAGTTTTATAATAGGTCAATTCACTCTAATATTAAACTAACAATACACTATTGAAACTAGTGAACGACAGTCAGCTATGTCGTGCGTGTGTAAGACAAATGTATGGGTAGTCCTCTTGAGGAATACAAATTTAATTTGTAAAGAGCCCAGAAGTCTTTCTTAATAACATACCAATCCCATCATCCCAATCGGTTAAGTACTTAGGCCTAACCTTTGACCGTCGCCTGACCTGGGGACCTCATATCAAAACTAAAAAACTCGCCCTAAACGAACGACTACGTTCAGTTAAACCACTAATATCTAACAAGCACACTAAACTAAACACCAAACTTCTTATATATAAATCATTAATCAAGCCCATGTGGACTTATGGCCTACAACTATGGGGCAGTGCAAAAGTAACTAATGTAAATAAAATCCAAACCGTTCAAAATAAAATTTTAAGATTAATCACTAATGCCTCACCATATGTCTCCAACTACTCTCTGCACACAGATCTAAACATAAAAACAGTTCACGCTGAAGCAATAACATATTACAAAAGATTCCATAACAGACTTCCATATCATCCTAATCCCCTTATATCCAATTTAGCTTCTCCCACAATTCCAGGCAACCCCACACGACGACTAAAAAGAAATTGGTGTAGTGATTTACTAAATGAATAATCCAAATAATTTAAAAAAAAATATATATATATAAACAATTAGGTAGTGCTTTCACTGGTTGGCTTCTTCCCTCACATTTTCATGTACAAAATATTATATCACATATTCTTAATGTGCCTAAGGGTACAGATTGTATATATCTTGTTAAAAATAAAAAAAAAATAAAAAAATTGTAAAGGAAAACCTAAGTAGACAATTTTAAGAGGACGTATGATTCCACATGATTCTGCTGTAAGTGTGTAATAATAGCAAATTTTTTTTTAGCAGTTCTCGCTTAGCTTTGTTAGTTTTAATATTAAAGTAAATTTACCTATAAATAAAATAAAAGGTAAAAACATGTTTTCTGTGTTTTTTTTTTTTTTAATTTAATTTACAAGTTAGATGGTTTTAAGTATTTTAAAATTAAAATCTTTAATTATACCTACTTTCCTCGCTTAAAAAATAAAAAAAAAAATATATTTAACAAACCACTGATAATGTTGCCACATTTGTTTAATAAAATTAATTCACTTTAATACCAAAACTAACAAAGCTAATCACTGAACATACATTTGCTATATTATATACTTTTATGATATCTTCTTAAATTAGTAAATATTAATTATACAATTTTAAATTAGCCTGTTCTAGAGATTTAGCTAAATACATACATAAGATGTGAGTTTTTATAATTTGATTAAGCCAATGCTTACTAATATAGGCATATACTAACAAATATTTATAAAAACATACCATATTATGTTGAAGCATTTTAAAAATAAATAAACCTAAAACTTATTCTGTAGGTGCATAATGTTAAAATATATAAATATGTATACTTATAGTCTCATACTTTTTTCGCAGCAATGTAATTGATAACAATTTGAGATTCAGCCGCTTTCTTCTTCAGTTCAATAAAGTCTACTATTAAACGATGACATTTTTCGCAAATCATTTTTGGTTTTATATCGTCCTTCTCCACCTAAATATAACAATAAAAAATATAAATTTAATTATTTGTGTAAAATTTTTTTTTTCTTTTAAAATATGGTACGAACTTCGATTCCTAATAGGTCTATCATCAGTTGATTCATATTCATTTCTCCATCGCTAGGCGTGAAAATGTGTATAAACTTGACGTGTCTGTTCGATTCCGGTTCCATCAGACAGAGTCTGCAGAGATCGAAGTTCTCGCTGTGCAAATGCATCTGATTGTTGCTCATGGTGAACGGTTCTCTGAGGAATTGTGCACTAGCGAAAATCAAACGATCAGACGGCGGCACCCGGCCGGGCAGCGGTTAAAGTTATAAGCTACGAGCGGTAGACCAATGATAGGCGGACATCGTTATTTATTGATTTTCGACGAAATTCAGTTTCGTCTGAGCGGTGAACGACATCCACCGGTTCAGTTGGCCAAACCCGGCGGACAGCAGATTTTCGGAATCAACGTTGCAGCACTATAAGTAATAAAAATATAATTATGATAATTTTATGATCGAAAATATTACTTTACGCGAAACCAACGTTTTCGGGGCGAATACGGCACTACGACGTCACGTCACCTGCAAAAGTCATGTGTTAATGTGTTATACATAAAATGACAACAATGTCAAAAAAAAAAAAGCAATGACGAATCAGCGCATGTCGTTTGCCGAGCTACGCTGCTACAACTACAGAGTACAGTGTCGGGCAACGTCATGATAACGTTGGTTATGGCCAAAATACCAAATTTGTTTACTGTAATATCATTACATAACATGTATATGGCCATACCATGAAAAATTAAAATAATATATTATATACCTACATTGATAATTTATATTCGGTATTTTGGTAAGAACCTGCTTCACGGAGTAAAAACATTAGTTATTACTTAATAAGATTACTAGAGCGTAGGGTTAGTATGGTAGTAAGGTTAACTAAGCTAACAAACCAGCCAACAGTCCAGGCTCATCGTCGGATGTCGGTCGTCGACAGCCAAGCTGATGTGTAGGTATATAAACAAATAAATACTATTACAGTAGTACTACCGTACCGGTGAACATACCACTTACCAGTAATTGAGTATAGAAAGGCAAGCCGCAGCTGCTGGACGCCCTGATTAATGGGTGGGTGGGTGGGTGTTTTCTTTGCTTTTCCCTTACAGTGGAGCCACAGAACACATTATGACGACATTTCGAAACAAACGTGATCTCTCCACACCGAGGTTTTTGTCCGATTTCAAATTTTCTATGAACAATGAACATGAATAGTTCCTTTGTTGCAACCGGTTATGGCCTTATGGCCTATGGGTCACAATTGATGTGGCGGCACTGTGACTGTCGGTTATTTAAAAATTTTGAATTTCAGAATTCAGATTTCGGAACAAAAGTCAAAACTCAAAACTAAAACCAATTAAAAATATATTTTTTTTTTTTTAGGGCCTTTGAGATCATCTTGTCATTGAACAAATCCTCCCAAAAATATATTTAACATTAATTTAAATTTTTACATCATCATGTAATAAAAATCGTTCAATACCTATTCCCATAGACCTATAAACTAATGGACTGCACCTCACTCACCACTCAGCCATCAATGAGTGGCGCCAATATAGAGTGAGTGAGAAAGAACATTTTGGGGGAATCTTTGTGGACAATCATATAAGAGAAAGAGAGAAAAAACATAATGGGGGAAATCATAGACGTATGAAACTAATACTATAAATCGTACCCCTGACCTCTCTCTCTAAGCGCTGTCCATTAGTTTATACACTTTATAGGGTTATGCCTATTCCCTTACTAAAGCGACTCAACTGGGATCAAGGAGTTCACAACTTTTAGTTTCGTAACTTAGTAGACAAGATGTTAATATATATAAATACCTAATATAATATAAACAAAACTCAAAAAGGTGGATGAGTGGGTACCGCTCTGCTGTTCAGTAGTAGTAGTTGTCGAGCATATTATGTCGTTGTAATGGATAATAATATGTTATATTTGAATTCAATAATAAATCAGTGTATACGAAAAACGATTTTTTTTAAACTGGTTTTTCGTAAAAATTACCATTTTCTTTTGTTTTTCTCGACGCTTTCTATAGTAGCTTGAAATTTTCAATTTTACCTCCCAGAAGTACCAACTAGAACTATCAGAAAAAAAGCTGATCTCGAAAATCAGAGCATTTTTACTAACCAAAATGTGGCTGACAGATAGAAATAAAAACCACACAATATCATTGTAAAATCTATACATACATTATTTCGCTCCGCTCAGAATCTAAAATCAACATTTTAGACATACTTAATAGAAAAATTAATAAGAGAAAAAAATTGTTAAAAAATAAATAATTTTTCATAATAGGTACCTAGCTAAAACGTAATAACATAGAATTGGGATTATCAACGAAATAACTGTAAATAGGTAGGTACATTTGTTTTATTACAATAACTTACTTAAATTAATACATGTACATTGATTACACACAGGGCTGGATCAAGGGGGGGGGGCTAGGGTGGGCTATAGCCCCGGGCCGCAAGTTGAAAGGGGCCACAGTGTGTCAACTCATTTTTTTTCAAAACATTATTATAACTTATAAATTTTAAATTTATGTCATATGAAAATGGACTATGGACTTGGATACTTCATTACCGACACACAAGACCCAATTATAGGTATAGTGTTCGTCGCTTCTTGCAACTCGTTATCGTCGTTATCGAACGGGTTTCCGGCCGATCCGTCAACGTGAAAAATATAATCGGTTAAATTTATTTTTAAACCTAGTACATTACACGTTCTATGAACGACAAACACGTACTTTTGAATGGTCTAATGGAGGAAAAAACAAACGTAAAATTATTCAAAAATATTCGGATGGTACTACATGTCATGAGAGTTTAAAAGGTAGAGATACATTTAGAGTAAACACTTTTTTTGTTATCATTGATAAATTGCAAAACCAAATTAAAAAAACGTAGCTTAGCTTATGACAATATAACAAACCTTTTTGGAATTTTGACTCGCTTGGACGTGATTGATGATAATTTATTGAAAAAATCCGTAAATAATTTAGTCAAAGTTTACTCTCGTGATCTAGAAGAAAGTCTATACGACGAATTGAAACAATTCATTGGTATGGTTAAAGTCAAGGAAGATAATAAATTAATAAAAAACCCGGTTAACATGTTACAAATTATTGTTGAAGATAATCTCTCGGGCGTTTTTCCACATATTTATGTAGCGTTCCGAATTTTTTTAAGTATATCAGTTACTAACTGTGAATGTGAACGATCTTTTTCTGCACTAACAATAATTAAAAATAAATATCGTTGTATGATGGGTGAATCAAGACTGACATCTCTATCTATTCTTTCAATAGAGTGTGAATTGACTTCATGAATATTTCATTTGAAAATATTATAAGACAATTTGCCCAGGAAAAATCCAGGAAAAAGTTTTTCAAACATAATATTATATAAGATTAAAAATATATATGTATATTTTTTTTATTGCATATGCCGAAAAATGTATAATATGATATAAGAATACAATGTTATTTAAAAACAATTCTATACTTATTTTAATTTATATTTATTACAAATTAATTTAGAAGAAGTAGTCTGAATGTAAAGATGTAGTCTGTATTCAGAATAATTCAGAAGAAAAAAAGGAAATCGTTTTAAGGTGAAAAGGCCTCAAAAAAAGTAATAGCCCCCCTTAAATTATGACCATAATCCGGCCCTGATTACACATAGTTAGTATAGATCGATATATATTTTTCTTTTTTAGATTAAAATTTGATATTATATATTTTACAATAATATATTAAAAATAATCCGTAGATGACATTCCTTCTCGCACCTGGATGTTATTAAAAAAGAAATCACGCAGACGCCTTGGATACTACAAAATTACTTCAACAGAGAACTTGGTAAACTTTCAAAGAAATACTCCAATCAATTTGTAACCAACATCTACATTCAATCGTCACCGAATATCCTGATTTTACCGAAATATAGGTACACTGACGGATCAAAAATTAAAAATGGTGTTGCAGCAGATGTAGTATTGCAAGATTAGGTTTACATGTTAGGACTTTCTATTTCTTGATCTATCTACACAACTGATGCTCAGAGTCTGTGGCAATTGCTCGTACTTTGGACCTCTTAAAAACAAGACTCATACTCAAAGCAGTCATCCTAAGCGACTCACTAAGCACTCTGAGGAATCTTGTAAAAGTCGCGGTGTATAAAAGAGTATTTTTCAAGCCAAATGAGATTGCCAGAAAAATTCAAAATCAATTTCATAACCTAATAACCTAGCTATTTTATTATCGTGATTTGAATTCCATGTCACAATCAAATCTTGGGAAACGAAAGAGATGATGAAAAAGTAGCAATAATAAATAATAGGTACTATTAAAATTTCCCCCCGCCTTTTAAAAAGAAATTAATTACGTTACTCTTTACTTCAAATATGATAACATTTATTCCTGGATTGTTTAGTAATATTGTGAACTATTATCGGAATCAAAAATAAATATAATTGTCAATTGATTTTTAATTTTTCTGGGATATCCTATGGGCTTGTTTTTGTAATACATTCAAAACTATTATTTTAATAACGTAGAAAATAATGCGTTGTGAGTTACTTCATAGAAATTACTTTTCAAAAGTAATTTTGTTACAATTGCGTTACTTTAAGTAAAATGTAATGAAATTACTGCTGCGTTGCTGAAAAAGTAATTGCGTTATAGTAATTTGTAATCTGTGTTACGTTACTACCCAACACTGAATAGACTGAGGGTTATAAACATACTAAGTACAACACTAAAGTTCAAAATGGCTTCATTATAGGGAAGACCAAAATTATTACTAATTGTGTCATTGACAACAAAAATGTTTAGAGACAGTAAAAAATACACATCATTGTAAAATCAATACATTCATGCTCCGCTCAGAATCTAAAAATGTTTTATGGAATCAACTGGTTAATAGAATGAAAATGACTCGTACCAATACGATCACACAAAATTCCTATAGTCCTGTGTATAATGTTGCTTATTTTATTCATATGTAAAAAGCTAATAAGTAATAACTACTATCTACTATAGACTATAGTCTATAATACCTATTATCATCGATATTCAGAAATAGTTATTCGAGCTGCTAGTGCCCCGCAACACAGCTAAAAGGTTATCATGGGGTGGCCGATTAATTCACCGGTCTCCGACGTAAACAACACGT